GGGGGGGGCGAGCCTGCTGGTCCCTCGCCGGAGGGCGCCGCCCGCACAGCTGCGCCGATCCTGGCCACAGGGCTGGACCTGCACGCCGTTCTGCTGGACTTCGGCTGCGTTGTGTTTCTCGTTCTGGCACGGAGGCACAGGAAAACAGGTAGAGCAAAACGAAGCACAACACGAAACACAACGTTTAGGTCCAGCCCTGCCTGGCCAGGCCAACCCTGGGCCAAGGATCGGTGCGTGTGCCGTCGTGCCCAGGCCAGGAGTGGTGCTGAACACGTCGGCGATGGCAGCCATTCCGACCGACTCTATGCAGACTGAAAAGTCGCGGTCGGCGTTTTGGTGGAACGTGCCGATTTCGGTCAGTTTTGGGGCCCCGGAGTGGCCCGAGATCATCCTCCCCCTCTCCATCCCTCTTCCCGTCCCCTGCTTCCTTCCCCTTCATCCCCCTCCTGCTCCTCCCCCTCCCCCCCCTCATCCCCCTCCTTCACCTCCCCCCTCATCCCCCCTCTGCTCCTCCCTTTCTCCCCCTCATACCCCTCCTGCTCCTCCCCCTCCCCTCCCTCCCCCCCTCCTCCTCCTTCCCCTCCCCCCCCGCATCCCCCTCCTGCTCCTCCCCCTCCTTCCCGCTCCTCCTGTTCCTCGCTCCCTCCGCCTCGGAGGCCCCCTGGCCTCCCCCAGCCCCCCCAGCGAGCCCACAGCAGGTCATGGCCGAGGTGGTCTTCCTGATCCACCTGCTGACCTGCCTGTGCTACTGGAGCGCCGCCCCCCCCGCCCCCACGCCCCGACCTCCTCCTCCTCCTCCTCCTCCTCCTCCTCCTCCTCCTCCTCCTCCTCCTCCTCCTCCTCCTCCTCCTCCTCCTCCCCCCACGCCCCGATCCTCCGAGGGGAGGGGGGCAGGTCCCCGCTCTCGGGAGGCCGCGGGGGCTTCTGGGCGGCCGGAGGCCCTCTGAGGGGCCCCGCGGCCTTCCGAGGAGGCCTGGCCCCTCTCGGTGCCCCCCTCGGCGCGCCGTCGAGTTGGGGAGGGGCAGGCTGTCGGCCGAGGTGCCCCCTCCAAGGGAGGGCTCGGGGGTGGACAGAACCCCCAACAGTGACACGTCGATTAGTGAATTGTCCGTTTTCTGTTCTCGAGAGGGCGCCGCGGCCGTTATTTTCCAGGGTTGCGCCCGCCAGGTTTGGGCCTCAGGTCGTTTCCACTAAACCACGTTTTACTAAAAGGAGGTCTGTCCATCCCCGAAGGGCCCGCTTGGGGGGGGGGCTCGAGGACGTAGACGGCGTTGGCGCCCTGACCGCGGAGGCTGGATTTCCATGGCTCTAATGATGGAGTCTCTCGCCGCCGAGCGCACGAGGCGGCCACGAGGCGGCAACGGGTGGCGGGTCCTCGCCGGGACCCACTCGGCGCACGAGGCGGCAGCGAGGCGGCCACGTTGCGAGGCCTCGCCAGACTCATGCCGGGCGTGTCCCCCTGCAGGGAGATTTTCGACGACAGATAAAATTATCCCGGCAAAGCAACCTAACAGCGATGTGTAGGAGCATATCTGGAAGCATTCCCCTTAAGATTCAGAAAAGAATCCTGTTGTAGAATTCTGCTGTTCTCGCAGTCGTGGTCGCATTCGCGATGGCAGTCGCAGTGGCAACAGCAGTCGCAGTCACAGCCTCAGCCTCAGCCTGCCTCAGCCTCAGCCTCAGCCTGCCTCAGCCTCAGCCTGCCTCAGCCTCGCCCTCAGCCTGCTTCAGCCTCAACATCAGTCTGCCTTCAGCCTCGCCTCAGCCTGCCTCAGCCTCAGCCTCAGCCTGCCTCAGCCTCAGCCTGCCTCAGCCTCAGCCTCAGCCTGCTTCAGCCTCAGCCTCAGTCTGCCTTCAGCCTCGGCCTCAGCCTCAGCCTGCCTCAGCCTCAGCCTGCATCAGCCTCAGCCTCAGCCTCAGCCTGCCTCAGCATCAGCCTGCCTCAGCCTCAGCCTCAGCCTGCCTCTGCCTCAGCCTCAGCCTGCTTCAGCCTCAGCCTCAGTCTGCCGTCGGCCTCGGCCTCAGCCTCAGCCTGCCTCACCCTCAGCCTGCATCAGCCTCAGCCTCAGCCTCAGCCTGCCTCAGCCTCAGCCTCAGCCTGCCTCAGCCTCAGCCTGCCTCAGCCTCAGCCTCAGCCTGCTTCAGCCTCAGCTCCTGCCTCAGCCTCGGCCTCAGCCTCAGCCTGCCTCAGCCTCAGCCTCAGCCTCAGCCTCAGCCTCAGCCTCAGCCTCAGCCCTTCAGCCTCAGCCTCAGCCTTCAGCTCGGCCTCAGCCTCAGCCTCGGCCTCAGCCTCAGCCTGCCTCAGCCTCAGCCTGCATCAGCCTCAGCCTCAGCCTCAGCCTGCCTCAGCATCAGCCTGCCTCAGCCTCAGCCTCAGCCTGCCTCAGCCTCAGCCTCAGCCTGCTTCAGCCTCAGCCTCAGTCTGCCTTCAGCCTCGGCCTCAGCCTCAGCCTGCCTCAGCCTCGGCCTGCATCAGCCTCAGCCTCAGCCTCAGCCTGCCTCAGCATCAGCCTGCCTCAGCCTCAGCCTCAGCCTGCCTCAGCCTCAGCCTCAGCCTGCTTCAGCCTCAGCCTCAGTCTGCCTTCAGCCTCGGCCTCAGCCTCAGCCTGCCTCAGCCTCAGCCTGCATCAGCCTCAGCCTCAGCCTCAGCCTGCCTCAGCATCAGCCTGCCTCAGCCTCAGCCTCAGCCTGCCTCAGCCTCAGCCTCAGCCTGCTTCAGCCTCAGCCTCAGTCTGCCTTCAGCCTCGGCCTCAGCCTCAGCCTGCCTCAGCCTCAGCCTGCATCAGCCTCAGCCTCAGCCTCAGCCTGCCTCAGCATCAGCCTCAGCCTCAGCCTCAGCCTCAGCCTCAGCCTCAGCCTGCTTCAGCCTCAGCCTCAGTCTGCCTTCAGCCTTGGCCTCAGCCTCAGCCTGCCTCAGCCTCAGCCTGCATCATCAGCCTCAGCCTCAGCCTCAGCCTGCCTCAGCATCAGCCTGCCTCAGCCTCAGCCTCAGCCTGCCTCAGCCTCAGCCTCAGCCTGCTTCAGCCTCAGCCTCAGTCTGCCTTCAGCCTCGTCTGCCTCAGCCTCAGCCTGCCTCAGCCTGCCTCAGCCTCAGCATCAGCCTGCCTCAGCATTCAAAATGTGGCCCGGGAATGGAGTTCTGGGAACTCGAAGAACACGAAGTGGCCTACAGTTGGCTCCGGGCATTCAAAATCATGCCCAGGAATGGAGTTCTGGGAACTCGAAGACCACGAAGTGGCCTACAGTTGGCTCCGGGCATTCAAAATGTGGCCCGGGAATGGAGTTCTGGGAACTCGAAGACCACGAAGTGGCCTACAGTTGGCTCCGGGCATCCAAAATGTGGCCCGGGAATGGAGTTCTGGGAAGTCGAAGAGCACGAAGTGGCCTACAGTTGGCTCCGGGCATCCAAAATGTGGCCCGGGAATGGAGTTCTGGGAAATCGAAGAGCACGAAGTGGCGTACAGTTGGCTCCGGGCATTCAGAATGTGGCCCGGGAATGGAGTTCTGGGAGGTCGAAGAGCACGAATTGTGTGTGACTGTATGCGAAAAACGATCCCCGCCGGCAAACCCCAACTCGTCCCCAACGGCTGCCCAGACCCCCCTGTGGAGTAATGTGCTGCTCTCTTTTTAGACCACTAGAAACCTATCAGTCTTCGCTGTTAGGTAAAAAGTACCCCCAAAATGCCCCAAGAAGGTCAAACAATATTAAAAATATTGTCCCCAGATTATTTTTGGACTTTTCTCCCCCTGCAGGGGGATTTTCGACGAAAGATAAATAATGCCCCCGAAGTGCCCCAAGAAGGTCAAAAAATATTTCAAAAATAGTCCCCAGATTATTGTTGGACTTTTTTGTTGTTGTTGTTGTTGTTGTTGTTTGTATTTTTTGTTTTTTGTCGAACATCCCCCTGTATGGGGGGCAGGACCGACTTACCGCCAGACCCATTCAATTCTTCAGAATCAAGGGAGGAAAGACCACCCGGACCGGACAATGGGTGTTCACTAAACGGCGTTGGGCGTTTCCTAAACAGCCCTGCCCTGCTTGATTCCTTCTGTGGGTGCGTTTGCGGAACGGCTTCGCGTGTCGGGCTGGTGATTATCGGGGTGGCTTTTCTGCCCTCTGCAGAAGCGCAAGCCAGAATCTCAAAGTGCAAGCGCTCTACAGTCGGGGCCCTGAAGAAGGAACCCTTTTCGTTGGGGAGGGGCTCCGCGTTCCTTATGTGTTTCGCAGCTTGTCTGAGGTTTTCCTCATGTTTTCGATGGGAAATCGAAGTTTAACTTATGAAAAAAAAGGGGCCCCGTTCCTCATGTAGGGTTCCTTAGGTCAACGCCCCGATTGTATTATCGGGGTGGATTTTCTGCCCTCTGCAGAAACGCAGGCCATAATCTCAGGCCAGAATCTCAAAGTGCAAGCGCGCTACTTTGAAAAAGGGCACGGCCCGAAGCTTTTGGAGCTCCGCGCGGATCGGCGCAGGGCCCCCCCCTATGCGCTCGGACTGCTTGGGCCTGCGGCGCTTCGGGCGCCGCCCCGTGTGGCGCTCCGCGCGCCAGGGAGCGGCGTCCAGCGCTGATCAAGGGATCCTCGTGGAGTTCCGACAGGTTACCAGCCTGGAGCATATCCCTATCCCTGTGCTGGGCACCTCCTCATCACGATGCCAATCTTAGGGATTCCCTTATTTTTTGGCTCAAGCGCTCTGGCTCAAGGGCTGGAAGGGTCACCCTAAAATCCGCCCCGCTTGAGGGTGACCCTCCCTGGCTCAGGGCCGCTCGCGCGCTCAAGGCCCCCGGCCAGCTCCCGCGCCGCGCGCGCGCGCGCGATCCGCCTTCCGCGCGCCCGCTGCCCGGCCCGCGGCGGCCCGCTGCCCAGCCCGCGGCGGCCCGCTCCCGGCCCGCGGCGCCCGCTGCCCGGCCCGCGGCGGCCAGCTGCCCGGCCCGCGGCGGCCCGCTGCCCGGCCCGCAGCGGCCCGCTGCCTGGCCCGCGGCGGCCCGCTGCCCGGCCCGCAGCGGCCCACGGCCCGCGACGGCTGGCTGTGCCGGCTGAGCCGCGATCGGCCCCGCTGCCGACGGCATGCCGGTGGACAAGGGGACGCGCCGGCGGCGCGCGAAGCTGAGGAACGAGGAAGGCGCTCACGCCGCCGGGGCGCCCAGCGGAGCGACTGTCGCCGCCGGAGCCGCAGCAGCGACGGCGCTCGCTTCGCCCGCGCTTCCTGCGGCCGGGCCGGCTGAGCCAGCGCCGACCCCCCGAGCAGCTGGCGCCCTGCAGCAGCTCGGCCGAACACCAGAGCAGTCGGCGCCGCCGGCCCCGGCGCCAGGGGCCATCTTCAGGTCCGAGAGGTTGTGTATCGACCCCGTGCACGTCTATAGCGTCACCACGATAGACGGTTCAGCACTCGAGGTCGAAGGGTGGACGCTCCTCTCTGCCGGCTTCAAGTTCGAGGACGAAATCCTACACAGTTCTGGCTCTACTGATCTGCAGGTAAAGGCCGAGGAGGAGGAGGACGACGAGGGACAGACACTGCAGCCGCACATCGCCCCCTCCTCAGAGGCGCCCGCTTGCTCAAAGGATGCTTCTGCCAGCGGGCCCGGTGACCCGCCACAGCAGCACTTGCAGTTGCCGCCACATTCACCAACGCAGCAGCAGGCTCTGTCTGTCGAGACGCTGTCGGTGGAGGCTGCGGAGGCTACGGCCGTCGAGGAGCCCGTCGTTGGCGAAGGCTGGCGTGTTGATGCCACGTTAGGGCCCGAAAAGGATGAATCAGAATCGGATTCCACCCAGGCGGTCAGCATCCACGACGGCAAGGCTTTGGTGGACCGCGGTGCGGGCGGTGCCAAGCAAAAGCGCAATCGGAGGAAACAGAAGAAGCCCAAGGCGGTTGGTGGCGACAGGGGGGTTTCTTCTTTCTCGTTCGTGGATTGGGCTGCGATTTCCTTGGAGGCTGAAGGCCCGCAGGTGATGTTTTTCAGTCTGTACGATGGTGATCTTGCCCTCTTCAACCCATACATGTTGCACTTATTCCAGTCGGGCAAGGCAGCGGTGGCTCCATTGCGGCCCGGGGGGCAGGCCTCGAATCCGCCGCCCGCCGCTGATATGCCGTGCGGAGGGCATGCGAGCGGGCCGGGGCGTGGTGGACCACTTCCTCCAGCTCACGACAGTAATACAGTGCACAGGGCTCCACGCAGTCCGAGTTCAAGGCGTGCAAGTAGATTGCGTCCACCTCCTCGCTTGGCTGGCCGCTGGGCTCCTGCCAGGGCTCCGTGAGCCCCCGCCGAGTTCAGCCACCGGCCATGTTGGAAGGTCGGCGCTTCATTTTCCTTCCGTCTTCTCTGTCTCGCCCCTTCTCTCTCTCTCTCTTGTCCGTCTTCCTTGTTGTTTCCACGACACATCGCAATGACTTACTTTATGTGGGGCTTAATCCTTTGAGTTCGACCACGCACCGTGGACAGTGTCTCCGCGGCTGCCTAGGTTTCATGTTAGTGGACCTCGTCGTGTGATCCTATTGATTTAGTCTGATCTATGACGATGTTAATTTTTCTGTACACCGCGTACGATGGAATCCATCATTCAGTATGGTGGCTTCTGTAGTAAGATGTTCCTCCTCCTCCTCCTCCTCCTCCTCCTCCTCTTCCTCGTGTGGCGCAGCATCGTCCTGCTCGTCGTGTTGTGTCGACGGAATGGACGCGGAAACCTGCAGTCCAGTTCCCCCGCTTCCCCGCCGAGGTAGGGCCCAGTCTGGCGCGAAAAGGCGAATGGTGGCTCGACGTTCTTGGGATATTCGCGCCCTCTCTCTCTGCCCCCCCTCTCTTCAAAAAAAAAGGGATCCCCTTATTTTTTGAGGGCGGATTCCTAAGATTGTCATCGCCTTTTGGCGTGCCAATCTTAGGGATATGGATACGGTCGAGGCTGGTAAACAGTTTGTGTTTGTGGCCACGTGCGCCAACTCCACGCACATCCACCTTGACACAGCATGTCGGTGGGGTGCGTGGGCGCTCGCAGCTCCAGTCAGCAGGGCAGACTCCAGGCAGCGGGGCAACTCACACATATGAGCGAATCGCTTCGGAAGAATTGCCTCTCCTCCTCCTCCTCCTGCTGCTGCTCCTCTTCCTCCTCCTGCTCCTCCTCCTCCTCCTCCTTCCTCCTCTCTCGCTTCTCATCCCTCCTTTCTCCCCCCTCTTTTGTCCTCCGTCCTCCTCTCTCCTCCCTCATTCCCCCCGTCCTCCTCCTGAGGTCTGCGGGCTTCTCCAGAGAAGGTTCTGGAGGCCTCCAGACTGGAGACTTATTTCAGAGGCCCCGACGGCTGCGACAAGTCTTGGATCCCCTTGTTCCTTCGTCCTCCACCGAGCCTCAGCCGTGTCCTCCTTCTCCCCCCCCGGGGGGGGATGTTCTGTTGATCGCGCGATGCTCCCGTCTCCTCCCTGCGCGACTACCCCCAGACCTTGGATCCTCCGTCTCCTCCGCATCCCTCTCCTCGCTCTTCCGCCTCCGCCCGCCCTCAGCCACCTTTCTGCGCGATGTTGGCAGAGTGCTCTTCTCTAGACATCCGACGTCGTGTTTCGTTTTCGCGGCGTCGCTCCCTGGAGGGAGGTCTGGACCTCTTCCCGGGATCCCGACCATTTTTTTACGTGTCCCCAGGAGGACAGGTCGGCCATTGGGGCCGAGGCCATGCCAGTTGGGATGGGCACTGGTGAAGCGATGCTCCCCCTCTCCCCCATCGCTCCTGCGTGCCCGAGCAGCAGTCCAGGCACGGCGATAGCATAGTTGCCCGATGCCAGAGGCACGAGACAAGCACGCCCAGCCTTCGCTCCCCTCCTCTTCCCCCTCCTTCTCCTCCTGAGCAAGAGGAGGAGGAGAAGGAGGAGGAGGAGGAGGAGGGGGAGGAGCAGGAGGCGGAGGAGGGAAGATTTCAACCTGCCCCCCTCGCTCCTTCTGGACCGGCCAGCGTGTGGAGCGCAGCGGACACGATGCCCAGGCGTGATATTCTTCTCGCGCAGCGAGGCTGGCAGGGCCCGCGACACGAGTCAAGAGCAGGGACAGAGCACAGCGCTGCTTGGCTCGGTTTGGGACCCTGGTTTGTTTTTTGTATCGTGTTCGTTGTCGTTCCATCGTGCTTCGTTGCGGTGGCATTTTCGTGTGGCACCTGCTTCGCTCTGAACGTTCGCTTCACAACTTTCGGCTCAGTTTCTTTGTCTTTCGTTCGTAGCGCCAGCGCGTTCTGAGCAACGTTGTCCTCGGCCGCTGGACACGAGCACGGTGCTCGTTTCGATTCCTCCGATTCGATTCGATTCGACTTCGATGGCTTCCGGTTCCGATTCGATTCGACTTGGGATTCCGATCGGGGTTCCGAGTTTTTGCTGGAGGCATACTGGCCTGCCGATCTCCGCCGATTCGACTTCTCCCGACTCGGCTGCCGATTTCCGCCGATCCGACTCGTTCCCATCGCCGATCCGACTAGTCGATTCAATTCTGGGCCATCCTGTGAGCAGCGAGCGCGTTCCACTACTCGCAAAGTGCCTACTCGCAAAATGTCCTAAAACAAACGCCCGCTTCGACGTAAGGTACCGCAAATCCTCCTCGGCGGATCCGAGCCATTTGCGAGGTTTGTTACTTTGCGAGTAGTGGAACGCGCTTGCCTATGAGAGCAGCAGCGTGGTCCCCCTGTGGAGGAGGAGGAGGAGGAGGAGGAATACGAGGAGGAATACGAGGAGGAGGAGGAGGAGGAGGAGCAGGAGGAGGAGTAGGAAGAGGAGGAGGAGAAGGAGGAGGAGGAGGAGGAG